TGATCTGATTGTGCAGAGACGCTATGTTCTCACTCTCTTGGATGTCTGACCCACAAAAGTCAAGGGCTTCACGGTGAACATGGAGCTCTGCAGACCAGCAGCACCTCCTCCTGAATTCTCCCCAAAGTGACAGAAACCCGAGAGATGACATTCCATTCAGCTACCTGCATCACACCTCCCCGAACCCCATGTGGCTCCCCTCTGCTGGAAGATACAGTCCCGGATCGATTTCTGCTCAATCTGCTGCAGCTCCAGCTCCACCTGCTTCGAATAGTGTCGCAGATCCACACCCTGGGGAAATGACCATGAGAAGTCAGGACGAAGTCACAGGCAGGCCAGAGGGGACACCAAGATGACATTCCAGGGGAAGGTGGGGGCAGATGGGCATAGGGAGAGCCTCACCGTTCTAAGAGCCTCCTTCACCAGTTCATCCTCCAGATTTGCCTGGATGTGAACTGGAAAGAGACATTTATCACGAGGGTCCAGCACCTGCCGCCGCCTCCCCTCTCCCTGCCCCTGCCCGCACTGGGTACCTGCACACCAATTTCCCCTTCCCTCCCAGCCCCCATCCGCTGCAGTTGTAAGAACAGTCACTGTGACTTTCCTCTGTTTCTGTTCCTCACAGTCTAGTCAACCACAGACCAAAAATATCAAATGGAAATTCCAAAATGTGATCCTTAAGCTTTACAGTCCATGGCATTCTGAAAAGCTGAAGGACCTCTTGCCTGCCTTGGATGTTCGTTATCTCTGCTGGATGATCCTATGGTGTGTGTGGTGCCAGCCTGTCAATCACTCACTAGCTGTCTTAGTGATCAGACTATGTTCAAGAAACCTTGTTTTTACTTAATAATAGTCCCAAAGAGCAAAAATGGTGATGCAGCAATTTTATTAGTGTATTGCTATAATTATTCTCTTACTGTTCATTTCTTACTGTGCCTAACTTAGAAGTTAAACCTTCTCAATTCACAGATTAAAATCAACTTTAGCCGGGCGGTGGTGGCGCACATCTTTAATCCCAGCACTTGGGAGGCAGAGGCAGGGGGATCTCTTGAGTTCAAGGCCAGCCTGGTCTACAAAGTGAGTTCCAGGAAAGTCGAAAAGCTACACAGAGAAACCCTGTCTCAAAAAAAAAAAAAAAAAAAAAAAATTTATACTACATTAAAAATATTTGCAGGGGCTCTTGGGGGGCATCTACTGGGGGTCATATAATATATTCCTAAAGGATAAAGGGGCCTGGCTACTACTACCCAGGCCACCACTTACCATCCACCTCATCCAGGATGAATTCATCGGAGGTGATATCCAACTCCCCAAGTTGCAGGGGCTCTTGGAGTCCAGAGGCACCCCCCTGAAGAGGGACAGATTAGTGAATGTGAGATACAAAAAGAAACGCTGTTAACATAATACAACCAGATGTGCTGCAGGTGAGGTGGGGGCGCTTTTAGAGAGGTGCCATAGTGGGTCAAAGGTTCTGACATACTCCAATCTAATTTTTGGGCTAATGAGTAGAAAATACGTCATAAAAACCAAGCAATTTGTGAAGTCACTGGAAGTGTTCAAATGAGAAAAACTAGGATTAGCCGAACCTGCCTTTGAATTTAGGACCCAAGTCTTGTTATCTCGTGTGTTCTACACCACACCCTTAGGGAGTTCTAGATGCTAACACTGTCAGCTTGCATGCTCTTTATCTGTGTGTCAAGTGCACCCGTACACATTCGGCTAAATCCTAAGGACGACCTGTAAGGTAGGTCCTGATATAACGCCTCCCCTTTATAGGTGTGGGAAATGAGGACGCGGAAAACACAACACAGCTTACAAGTGGCGGGGCTAGAAGGGGACCAAGGCAATCAGGTTCCAGAGCCCACGTCCTCACTTTTCTACACTATATTCTCTTTTCTACTTAAAAAAAAAAAAAAATCTAGTGTGAATAGGAAGCTGACATTGTGTCCGTGGGACTCGAGAATCAGCCACTCTGCTCGGTCAGCACCACCGGTAGCAGGAGGGGAGCCCTTGTGTCCGACTCGGCCTACGCCTTCCTGAGAAGAGAGAAGCCCCGACGACACTCCGGAGGACAAACGCCCCGTGCTCTCACCAGCGGGCCCTCCTCCTCCTCCATATCTGAGGCCCCGGCCCGCAACACCAGCTCCCGAGCAGCCGCCGCCATGGTCGCCGCGGCTGCCATTCCCCCGCAGCCTCACTTCCGTCAGCTGTCAGGTTCGGAGAGTCCGCTCCCCGAGGCAAAACCAAAAGTCCCAGGATGTCTTGTAGGGCGCTAAAAAAAAAACCGTTCCCAGATACTTGAGCAAAAATGATTGGCTCCGGTCTCCCCTGTGGGGCTTGGGTCACTTCGGTCGAGTGCCAAAGAGAAGGTGGACGCCGCACACCCAATCCTGCTCCGGAACCTTTGCGGCTCGCTCGCCCAGCACAGGAGGAGCCTTAGGACGGGAAAGACGACCGGACCGGAAGTTGTGATGCCCAACCCAGACGCTCAGAATTCGACTCCTCGCTAAGGGAAGAGCGGGGAAGAGAAGCGGTTTCCGGAAGCGCGCCCCCTGGATAGTCCCGCCTCTTCCTCCAGGACGGTATATAAGAGCGATGCGTCACTTCCGCCCCCTCTTCCACGGGAGGCCTGCACGCCGCCGACTGTGCCGCCGCCATGGTAAGAGCGGAGCCCGGCGCCGGGATCCGGCGACATCTGAGCCGGGGCGGGCGGAGCTCTCCGTCAGGGCTCCGAGGCCGCCGTGCGCCGCGGGCCTGCCGCTCTCCCCGGACCGATGGAGCGCGACCCCGGGCGGGGACGACCTAAGACGTGACTCTCCGGGGAGCGGGGGTGGGGGGGGCCCGAGCACGGGTCGGTCCCTGGCCAAAGTGGCCGGGCTTTGCGGCGCGGGGCCCCCCCGCTCCCCGGCTAGCGTCCCCCTCGTGGCGAGGGTTGCGTTTCCCCGCGCCTGGGCGTTTGGCGATGGTGGTGAGCCCCGGGGGGTTGAGTCCGAACCCGGCAGAGGCGGGGCTCCGAGCCCGCCGCGGTGTCCCCCAGCCTCAGCGCTCCTCCTGGCTGTTGCCGGTGTGTCTGATGGTTCCCCCCCCCCCCCCCGTGTCCTTCCAGTCTCTAGTGATCCCTGAGAAGTTCCAGCACATTCTGCGAGTACTCAACACCAACATCGATGGGCGGCGGAAAATAGCCTTTGCCATCACTGCCATTAAGGTAAAAAGCGGTGTCGCCGGGCAGAGAATGCGCGGGGCGGGGGCTGGAAGTAACCAAGTCGCATGACTGACAGCCAATCCTGAGGGTGGTCCGAGGTCGGACCAAAGCCTCTCCCCTGGGGAAGTGGGGCGTGAGTGTGGCCCTGCCCCACGTCGCTAAGCATTCCCCTGATCAACAGTGTGTGTGTGTGTGTGTGTGTGTGTGTGTGTGTGTGTGTGTGTGTGTGTGTGTGTGTGTGTGTGTGTTCGTTCCCTGCGGCACACTGTAGCAGCAACCCATGGGCCGAATTTCTAGGAATTAACATCCGTTCGTGTCCGTCCGGGGCGGTCTGCAGACCAGATGCAAGTTGACTCTAGTTGAAATAGAACCAGCACGTGCCTTTGGTTTACTGCAAAAGGTCAGATGCTGAGCGGACGCTTGAGCTCTCTCTGCAGAGCTGAGAGCTTTCTTGGGACATTACTAACTTTTATCAACGTCAGTGATTTTGGAAATAGAGACATCTTGCCTGTCGGTATGTGTGGTTCTTGGAGGGCAAGGACTAGACCTGCCTAAGCCGTCTGCGTTCCCCCTGTGTGGTGTGTTCTCATGAGATGTCAGGGAATGGGTGGTGCTGAGGTGCGTGCTAAGTCGTTCTGAGAAATGGAAACTGGTGATGGTCTATAGAATCAAAGTAAGGAAGCCTGGTTAACTGAGGATATCAAATGGACACAAAGTTGCAGTAATTATTTTAAAATGTATGAACTCCCATTTTATATTTTTAATGTTTGCCTAATTTAAAATTTGACTTTTTTTTCTTCTGCACTTGGGAAACAGTGGTAATGGAGGTAGCTGATGGGGCAGGGTGAACGCAGTGTCTGGGGGGGTTGAAAGGCCTGGGGTGCTGCCTGTGACCTGCCTTTTCAAATGAGCATCTCGCTAATGTTCATTGGAAGATAATTACAGTACACTTGCAACCAGGCGGGGCACGAAGTGTGTGAAGATTCCTAAGAAATAAAGTTTGTAGGAGATTCGGGGAAGGATGATGAGGAATTTGAGGGAAAGGATTGCGGGGAGGGTCCTCCAGGGGTGTGATTAAGGTGTAGTGCAGGTTGGGCCAAGAAGGGTGAGGGACAGTGGAGATTCTGTGCCACGGTGCCTTGTTTTCTGAATTCTTTAAAGCTGCTCTGCTGCTGCTTGGCTAAGGTGACAGTTGGTGTTTGACTGTCTGGAAGCATGTAGGAAGGGGTTGGACAGACCTAGGAAGTGCTGGCTGTCCTTGCTCTAGGACCTAACACTGTCAGAATCCCTGTCCTTCCAAACTGTTGCAAATAGCTCAGGTCAACTCTTCGTGATATAAGGTCTCACTGAAGGCCTGACCACCACAACCAGCTTGGCATCAGACATCCACCTTCAGTACTTGCAGCCTTTAGAGGCTGGGGCAGGGATGTGTAGGTGTTTGCCTGCATGTCTCTGACTACACATATGTGCTGTGCCTGTGGAGCCCAAGATCCCCTAGAATTGGCATTTAGAGTTGTGAGTGCTGGGAATCCAGGTCCTTTTTTGGTTTTTCGAGACAGGCTTTCTCTGTAGCTTTGCGCCTTTCCTGGAATTCACTTGGTAGCTCAGGCTGGCCTGGAACTCACAGAGATCCGCCTGGCTCTGCCTCCCAAGTGCTGGGATTAAAGGCTTGCGCCACCACCGCCCAGCCGAATCCAGGTCCTCTTAAAAAATACTGAGCTGTCTCTGCAGCCCCTAGAACAACATTTTTTTTTCTCCATTCAATTCTGGAAGTTGAGATGGAGGCAGACTCAAACCCACTTAGGGCTCAAAGAACTCTTCCCTGTCTTACCATTTTAACACAGACATTCATGTGTGGCTGTCTACTACCCAGTTGTATTTAGGATGCGCCCTAATCACTTGTGACCTCGCCTTATATAATTTCTATGAGGGTCACCTTTTGGGCTGTAAGATGAGTGTAGGGGCATTTCATCCGTGGCACTGTTCATTGTCACCTTCGGTTTGGGGTTGGCTACTGGACATTGGCCTGGCTGTCAACTTATCCAGATGATTGTAACCTTTACAGATCAAACTGCTGTGGCTGCTTTCATGGCATTGAATTTCTGGTCCAGTGTGGCCTGAGTTCATTTCTGATTAGTGTCTGGAAGAGTGATCTGGGAATGACAGGATCCTGGATTCCCTATAGGTTCTGTCGTTATTGGTGGATTAGGGCAGGTAATTCAGGCTGAAAATCCAAACCTCATTCCCAAACTTTTCACCCCAGGGTGTGGGGCGGAGATATGCTCATGTGGTGTTGAGGAAAGCAGACATTGACCTCACCAAGAGGGCTGGAGAACTCACGGAGGACGAGGTGGAACGTGTGATCACCATCATGCAGAATCCACGACAGTACAAGATCCCAGACTGGTTCTTGAACAGACAGAAGGATGTGAAGGACGGGAAGTACAGCCAGGTGTGTGGATGGGTGCCTTCAGGGGGTGTCGGTTGAAATGGCACAGGCGTCTGAGGTAAAGCTGGCGTCTCTTTTTCCAGGTTCTGGCCAACGGTCTAGACAACAAGCTTCGGGAGGACCTGGAGCGTCTGAAAAAGATTAGAGCCCACAGGGGGCTGCGCCACTTTTGGGGGTGAGTGGAGTGGGGCTGGGGGGCTGCTTGGTGCCGCCTGTCTCCTGTCCTACTGGTGTGTGACCTGTGATTCTTTTCCTTCTGCAGCCTTCGTGTCCGAGGTCAGCACACCAAGACCACTGGCCGCCGGGGCCGTACTGTGGGTGTTTCCAAGAAGAAATGAGTCCCTGGGCCTTTGCTGTTAATAAATAGTTTATATGCCTGTGGCCTCGGTCTCTGTCTTCCATGTGGTGGGTGGCAGGGGTAGAGGGTGGGGCTCGGATCCCTGGTGGTTACTGACTGGAGGGGGTCCTGCAGCCAAGCCTTCGGTGTGGTTGAGTTAAAGTGGCCCTCCCAGCTGGGTGCTTTAATCCCGGCAGAGGCAGGTGGATCTCTGCGAGTTCGAGGCCAGCCTGGTCTACAGAGCAAGTTCCAGGAAAGGGGCAAAGTTACATAGAGAAACCCTGTCTTGAAAAACCAAGAAAGGAAGAAAAGGAAAATGTCCCTCCCACGGGCTCCTGTGTTTGAGCTGAGCCCCATAACCCGGCTCTAATTCTGACTGGGGAGCACTGGTCCTGTGCCTCCCTCGCTCTGTCTGGTATTGGGTCACAGGAACAGTCCCTGGGTCTGGAGAAGGCCACTCCCCACCGCTGCAATCTTGCCTGGGCGGGAACAGGTGGGGCCACCGGGGTTGGCAACCTCCAGGGGGCGCCTGGGCAGGCTATAGCGGTGTGCTTGGTTGGGGTGCAGAGCAGTTGAGAAGAGCTCACAGCGTGGCCAGATGCTGCTGCTCCGGTGAGTTTTTAGCATTCGCTAGCCAACTCGAGGTCCTGAATGGGCGGATTGGTTCCTCGCATGCTTTACAACAGAAACAGATACGGGAAGGATTGGACCAAGTGTGCCTCGCAACTTCCGGCCTTGAGCATGATGGGAAGGCAGTGGGGGAGGGGTGCAATGGAGGAGCCGAGCTTGGCAGACCGGCTCGGGGAAGATCGCGGTTCCCGCAGCCACTGCGGTGGGCTTGGGGCTGCATCGTGCCATGCGCCGGGCCCCCACGCACAGGCCAACGTGTTGCTGCTGCAGCGGCCGGCTAGGGCCGCTCTCCGGCCTCCTGGCGCTCTAACCGTTCTACCCACAGGTCTCTGCGGCTCACCATGTCCCTCAGCCTCTTCCGGCGCCTCCTCCTGGCAGTCCTGCTACTGGTGACCATCTGGACCCTCTTTGGGCCCTCCGGCTTCGGGGAGGAGCTGCTGAGCCTATCCCTGGCGTCCCTGCTGCCAGCCCCAGCCTCACCGGGGCCGCCCCTGGCCCTGCCCCGCCTCTTGATTTCCAACCCCCAGGCCTGCGGTGGCCCCGGACCCCCTCCCTTCCTGCTCATCCTGGTGTGTACGGCCCCGGAGCACCTGAACCAGAGGAACGCCATTCGGGGGTCTTGGGGCGCCATCCGCGAGGCCCGGGGTTTCAGGGTGCAGACGCTCTTCCTCCTGGGAGAGCCTCTCGGGCAGCACCTCCCCGACCTAGCCTCGGAGTCGGCAGCGCAGGAGGACATCGTGCAGGCCTCCTTTCAGGATTCCTACCGCAACCTCACCCTCAAGACCCTCAGCGGGCTGAACTGGGTGAATAAATATTGTCCTATGGCCCGCTACGTTCTCAAGACGGACGACGACGTGTATGTCAATGTCCCAGAGCTGGTGTCAGAGCTGATCCAGAGAGGGGGCCCTTCAGAGCGATGGCAGAAGGGCAGGGAGCCACAGGAAGAGCCCACAGCTGTCCACCAGGAGCACAGAGGCCAGACAGTCCCGCTTCTGTATCTAGGCCGACTGCACTGGAGGGTGAACCCCATCCGGACACCAGGCTCCCGGCACCATGTGTCAGAAGAGCTGTGGCCTGAAACCTGGGGTCCTTTCCCACCTTACGCCTCGGGCACAGGGTACGTGCTGTCCGCCTCGGCTGTGCAGCTCATTCTGAGGGTGGCCAGCCAGGCGCCGCGTCTACCTCTAGAGGACGTCTTTGTGGGAGTGAGTGCAAGGCGAGGAGGCCTTGCCCCCACACACTGCGTCAAGCTGGCTGGCGCCACCCACTACCCCCTGGACAGGTGCTGTTACGGGAAATTCCTGATAACATCCCACAAGGTGGATCCCTGGAAAATGCAGGAAGCCTGGAGGCTGGTGAGCGGACTGGATGGGCAAAGGACTGAGCCCTTGTGCTCCTGGCTCCAGGGACTCCTGGGTATCTTGAGGTGCCGGTTCATAGCCTGGCTCAGCAGCAGCTGAGAGCCAGGGGCCACAGAAGAGCATCTCAGGGACCTGTGCCCCACAGTCAGTGTGCACAGACTGCAGCTCCTCCCTGTGGTGATCCCTCCTCACAGCAGACTCTAACGCCACCCCAGGCAAGGAGAGAGAGGAGACTTGGGGCCTGACAGCTCCCGACAGTCAGTCACCCTCACCCGGGAGGGATAAACGCAGGAGGGTACCGGGAGACTGCTGTTCTCACCAGCTGGGACAAGAGCAATAAACTCGTCTCTTCACCCCACGTGCAGGCTGTCACCTGTCTTCACCACGACCCCAGCACACCCGGAGAGCCTGGGGGCTCCAATGCAGCTGCATGCAAGTCCATCTTGGACAGCCACTCGGGATAAGGCTGAGGCAACCACAGGTGTGGAGTAGGAGAGAGGCAGGACAATGAGCTGAGTCTAGAGTAGCCCCACGAGGGGAAAACATCTACAGGACGATCCAAACACTCCCCCAACCTTGTTTATACCCACCCAGCCAGCTAGCCAAGGTGAGACACACAGCACACAGGATGAGTTCCTACAGATCTTTTTGATTTGTTTTATTTACAAATTTGATTTGTGTGTGTAGAGTGCATGTGACTCGTGTGTGTGTGTGTGTGTGTGTGTGTGTGTGTGTGTGTGTGTGTGTGTGTTGGCCCATATGTACACAGAAAGTCAAAAGACAACTTGTGGGAGTGGTTCTTTCATTCCACCATGTGTCTTCTGGGAATTAACCTCAGGTTTGGCATCAAGCTCCTCTGCCCACTGAGCCATCTGGCCCCATGGATCATCTCGGGAATGCTGTCTCGGGCTCATCGTACAAATCTATCCAGTGCAGATGGGCGGGCTCCAGAAGGCTTGGCCGTCTCTTGTTTCTGTTGCTGCTGCTGCTCAAGGCTCTGGCGGACTTTGTCCTGGAGATAAGAAACGGGGCCCAGGACAGAGTGAGCAGAGGCTGGTGAGAAGGCTCAAGGCTGGCTACCCCACGTCTGCATACCCTGTGCTCCTGGTCCATGACCTTCTTCTTCCTCTTCACCAGGCTCGCTGTGGAGCCCCGGCCCTTCTGCTTCGCCTTGGGTTGGAAGGCAGCCTTGGCATCGGGGTCATAGCCCTGAAAGGGACCAAGTGAAACCAGGAGCGGCCCAGGGAGCGGGCAGTTCCCCCTGCTGAGCTGACTTCCAAAGGGGGCCCTGCCTCAACGCCGCCATGTGCCATCCTTTGGTCAGGCCCATGGGAGGCCTGCCTGCTGAATGGGGACGGAGGGGAGGGGAGGGCGGAGACTGCAGTCGGTATGTAAAATAAATGAAAAAAGTGTTAAATTAAATGTTAAAAAATGGGGTAGGGCATGGGGGGGGGCACTCAGACGGGTGAGGAGAGCTGGGCAATGTGGCAGCTCCATACCAGTCTCTCTATCCGCTCCTTCTTCTGCTGCTCCAGAGTGACCACATCCACCTCTGCCAGGGCTCGGGGGTCCAAACAAATGAGCTCTGCGGGTACCTGGAGGAGCCACGGAGACGGTAAGGAGCCACAGGGAGGCGACACCGGAAAGGCCCGGAAGCCAAGGAGGGCGGCCCGCAGAGCTCACCTTTTCCAGCAGGGCCTTCACCTCCCACTCCTGACGCTGCTTCCGGCTCCTGTACGGGTTGTTCTCCAAGCCGTCAAAGTTGGGCTCGGCAGAGCCTGGGGAGGAGGAACATGGGCTGATCCTGGTCCTGCAGCTCCAGACTGACGGGCCACTGCCCCCCCTCCCCAGCTGTCAGGCCCTGGCCCACTCACCAGGGACCAGCATGCTGGTGACGCCTCCACTGTGCCCCACCCCCAACACGTCTTCAAAGGGGCAGAACTGGAGTCCATGCACGTGGCCTGAGAGTCGGTGGGTGAGGTAGGGCTGCTCCAGGGAGGGCGGGCTGGCCTTGCCCTGCCCTGCCCATATGTTGACCACATCACCCATTCCTGCAACTAACAGTCCCCGCTGGGAAAAGGCCAGATGTCCTGCTCCCTGAGGCAGGGTCCGGGCACTCAGGGGCTGGAATGTCCCTCGCAAATCAAAGATCTTGAGCTGGTGGTCCAGGCCAGAAGTGGCCATGTACCTGTGTGGGAGACGGACTAATCAATCTCCAGTGGACAGTGACAGGAACCTGTGGCCACGTCCCAAGTATCTAATCTGGATGTGTGAAGAGAGACTAGTGACCACTCTCCACACTAAATGCTGCACCTCACATAACTTACCCATTGCTTCCATTTTATTTATTACTTACTATTTGTTCGTTTTGAGATAGTCTCACTAGGGAGCCCTGACTCACAGAGATCAGCCTGCCTGTACTTCCCAAAGGCTGAGATTAACAGTGTGTGCCCCTCTGTTTTCAAGGCCAGAGAGAGCCAGGCGCAGGTGGCACACGCTTTTAATCCCAGCGCTCGGGAGGCAGAGGCAGGGAGATCTCTGAGTTTGAGGACAGCCTGGTCTACAGAGTGAGTACCAGGACAGGCTCCAAAGCTACACAGAGAAACCCTGTCTTGGGAAAAAAAAAAAAAAAAACACCAAAAAATAAATAAATAAAAAAGGAAAACCCTCCTAGAAAGTAATAAGTAATGCTTTTTTTCCCAGAGGCTCAGAGGGAAGCTAAAGGTGACGAGCCTTGCCAAAGAGTCTCTTGGCCTTGACCATGAATCCAGGAAGGGACTGAAAGATTCTATGAGCAGAGGTTCATCCTGTGACAGAACCCAAAAGAGCCTCAGCAGGACACAACGGTTACTGAGCTAGGCATGATGTGCATGGCTTTAATCCCAGCACTAAGGCAGGTCTCTGAGTTCGAGGCCAGCCTTGTCCACAAAGCGAGTTCCAAGCCAGCCAGGTTACATAGACCATGTACCCTGCCAAAAAAGCCACTGGTAAAAACCAGAAATGACTGCGAGATCCTGGACAGCGTCCCATCCTCGGGTGGAGCTGACCCCTAACTATCTACAGGATCCAGTGGGAAGCTGAGGCCTGGCAGCCCTGCTGCTGTCCTCTCCAGATTTCAATTCACTGCGATCCTAACACAGGCCTCCAGAAAGCCCTAGGGAAGAGGCCGCTTCCCCTGTAGCCTGAGGGGAACCAGAGCTAAGCAGGGAGCAGCTGAAGATCCCAAGCGCTCAGGGCTACGGTGCTGACCAGGCAGTGAAGCCCTGGGCAGGAGCTGCAGGCCCCGGCAGGGTGAGCCCCAGCTTAGGCCGCTGAAGGCACAAGGTTCCAGTCAGTCAGGCTTCTGACTTCCCAGAGCCAAGCTGGCACCGGTGGAGACCCAAATCACTGTTCACAAAGACAACAGCAGTGGCCAGAGTGACCTCAGCATCTTGGAAAACTTTTGCATGGTGGTAACTCCAGGCTTTCCCTACCCTGGCTGGGGGGAGGGGGGGGAATGGTATCCGCAGTGGGGGTGCACAGCTTTAATCCCAGTACTCAGGAGGCAAAGGCAGGCAAATCTGAGTTCAAGGCCAGTCTGAAACGCTGTCTCAAAAAAAAAAAAAAAAAAAAAAAAAAGGTGCACTGATGCTGAAACTTCACGTTAGAAACCCCTGATCATCAGTGCAAGAGGGAAGCAGTTTGTAGGAAACTCCTCTGCGAACAGCTCAGGGACATGCCGCTGGAGAACTGGCAGCATGAGGGGGCACAGACAGCGAGAGCCCCCGGAGCACAGGGAAAAGCTGGCAGGATTTCAGAGGCGGCCACAAGCAAGATCAAGAGGGACGCCCAAGACAAGCGTCAGACCTGGGGCCCCGAAAGCACGGAGAACATTGGCTTTTTGACTGGTTTCAGTATGTAGTCCAGACTAGTTCTCAACTTTCAATCCTCCTGCCTCAGCCTCCTGGGTGCTGGGACTAAAGAATGCACCACCAGGCCCTGCTCAGACAATCAACACTTTTGACTCCTGAGGAACTTGGGAACTGTGGCTCAAAGTGTAAAAAGACACTGTGGCACACACCCATAATCCACTCAGGAGGCTGAGGCAGGAGGCTTGCCACATGTTCTGGGCCAGTTTGAATTGCAGAGAAGACAGCTCCCCACCCCCCCACGAACTGTGTGAGCGTGGCTGGAGGGGGTTGGGACATCGTTTGCTAAAAGCCTTCCTTTAGCTGTTACCAGGCAATAAAGTGAGTTCCGGTGCAGTCTGGATGGTGCCTGGCAACCAGGACACTGTGTCACCCCCATCAAAGATGTCGGTCCAGATCTAGCTGGGCAGTAGGCTGGGGTGGGTGTCTACCGTCCCTGACAGAGTACCAACACGCCCCGTGGCTGTTCTGGTTTGTATTTTCTCCTTAACCCTCTCATTCTTCAGACACTCACAGGGCACCTCTGGCGGGTGAGGCTCCAGGCTGACCTGGGGACATTAGCATGAACCCTGAATCTACCCACATGTGGCTAGAAAGGAGTGGAATTCGGGTTGGGAAAACTTTTCTGAGAAGGAATGGGAAGTGACGCAACCAGTAACAGACCCACCAAGTCTGTAGGGACAAACAATGCCTGACAGAAATGAGGTGCACCCCTAAACTACGCCATCTGTCTGCACGGGACTGCAAGGACACACCATGAGCCTGGATGCAGCCTGTGCTCCTGGAGGAACTGCCTTCCGTCTCCTTCCGCCCAGCCACACCCAACACCTCACCCCCAAACAAGTGACTTACATGCCCGTGGGATCCACTGCCACCGCCCGCAGCCCACCACGGTGACACAGAATCTTTGCCAGTGGCTCCTTCACAGCTGGACTCCACAAAGACACGGTGCCTGGAGGTGACGGGAGAGTCCGGGTTACGAATGCAAACTCAGCCCGGCTCTTGCCGTTGGTTTTAGCCCAAGGTTATCAAATGAGGCAAAGAGAGGACCAAGGTGAAGGAACTGAAATGTGAAGGCAAGTGTTTTATTCTAGGGGGTATAGGCAAGGTTGCAGCGTTAGGATCTCCCTCTCCTCTCTCTCTTCTATTTATAAAAAAATAAGTTAAGTATATTTGCTAAGGTAGTATAAGTAATATATTTCCTTTAGGGGTTTGCTAAATTAGATATCTGAAAAAGTACTCGAGTAGTCCTACAGAATGTAAGTTTATTATGTAGGTTTGAATGATAGAATGTAGGTTTAAACAGGTGATAGATTTAGTATAAAGTGAGTCAGAAATGTAGGCTTAGAATATATAGGCCTTAGGTTTAAGGATATGGTGAAAAAAAAAAATTGAGAATAGGTTTTCCCAACCTGGGACTCGGAGAGCAATGTCCATGGCGGACTGTGGACTTGGCAGTTCTAGAAAGCCACCAATAACAAAAAAAACAGTTCCAGAGACGGCCAGCTTCAGAAAATAGCAGCCAGAGGGTCTCTGAAACCGAAACCCTCAAGGCATCAACGCCATGCAGATGGCAGATGCGCGAGCGTCTACAAGCTTTCTACCGAAAGCAAGCCACAGTGAAAAATGAACGAGCTAAGTCACGAGCGAGGCTAAGGACAAGCAGCACTTTGGAAAGCCCTGCAGAGATGCCGCGCTTCAGGAAAGGTGAACAGCAAGATTCTGCAACCTTTGAGATGCTACTGCGAGAAAGACCTCGGAAAGATGAACAGTGAGCAGAGCAGCGATGAACAGTGGAGACGCAGAGACGGACTGCTGCTTCTAGGCCCGGAAAAGTGGTGTCAGTGCTGGACAAACAGTTGAGACACAGGAACTGCTGAGTGCGCCAGGTTGAACAGCTAAACCAAAGCGGCGAAACTGCTGACTGCTACGGAGGACTCGGGGACAGGTTTGCTGAGCCCTGGGACTGTCGGCGGTGCAGGTAATGAGTTCTCCTCCCAAGCCGGGGGTGCCGTGGGAAGGCCACAGTGTCAGCTCACGGCAGCTGAAGGAGCCTTGTGCCTGTGGGGCTCTGAGGTGAGGCTCTCTAGCCTGGTCCGGGACTGGTTGCGGAAGGCTACAGACCGCAAAGCACAGCGCTGGCTGAAAGCGAGGTTTCAGAGAGACTTGCTCGAACTGGAAAGTTTGGTTGTGGGACTTCTATCTGGAACTGTTCGCTTCAGAGTCATTAAGACTCTGACAGCTGTGCAGACTTAAGGGCAGCTGACGAGCCAGGCCCTAACTATGACCGCTCAAAGGAAACTTTAGGAATGGAACCAAAACTCTTTGAACTTTTGAACTTAAAAAATAAAATGGACAGTAACGAGCTCATTATAATGGGACAGTTTGAATTTACTTATACATAAATACTCTATCAACAGTGATGGCTTATGAACTGCTTATGGTACCGTTTATATAAAAATGGAACTGTTTAAATAGAGAAGGTTGTTTTTGTTTTTTTTTTTAAAAA